CCCCAAAACCCCAAAACCCCAAAACCCCAAAACCCCAAAACCCCTTTCTAGTCAGAAATTATTGAGATTGGATATAATTGGGTTAAAAACACTGCAGAAATACTCGATATTTTTGCCCTTACATAATATAAATTTCGGGATAAATTTATATTATTTAAAAGAAAATGTCAAAGCTAGGAGATTTTCCTGCGCTTGGAGCCGGGGAAGAGAAGAAGGTACAAGCACAAAAGCCTCAGAGCACTCCAACTAACGGTACTGAAGAAGCAAAGGCAGCTAGCAGTGGTACCGATAAGCCAAAAGCTAAACTCAAGCTCGGAAGCAAAACTTTTGCGGCTAGGAATTTCACTCCGAAGAAAAAGGAGTTTATCAATTACTATATTCCTCATGAAGAGCCAAGTATTAAAGAAACTGAGTACTTCCCAACCCTCGGAGGTGGCCCAGTAGAAGAGCCAAAGGAAACTGAGTCTCAGCAAAAACACAATGAATTTTTACAGGAGCACGAAGTATTTAAACAGTATATTGGATTGCTACCTAGAGATTTGTGGTTTGTTCCAAATGAAATGATTGATGCTGCTGGATATCCAATCATGGCTAACCTTCCAGATTTGTATATTTATATGTGGAATACATACAACATGTTCTTCAACCCAGACGGTACTTGGAGTAAGTTATCACAGAAAGATATTAACGATTTGAAAACAAGAGCTAGAGTATTTCAAATCTTTTTCAGAGTATATTTGATCATGAGATGCAGCAGAGAAGTTACATCATTATTATGCCATAAATCTACTTTGGTAGTTTTTGTGATACCCTTAGTTAGTTTGACGCTGCAGCTATTTTTGTGAGAATCTATTTTTGAAATTCCTTTCAATGCTCTGGAAAAGTGAAACATTTACTCACAACAATTTCACCTGAATTTTCACAGTAATATTAATTTATTATCTTTAAGTTTGGTCAATGACAAACTTGATGCTAATATTTCTTATAGATACGCTAACTACAAATGCAGAGACTGTTCGTTCAACATTGGGAGCATTATGGACTCACGCTGAGTGGAGAGATAGAGTTCTTGAAGAAGAGCAAATAGCAATGGAGAAATATGAAAGGGAATTAGCTGAGTGGGAAAGAGAGAATGCTGATTATTATGACGATGATGATGGCATGGGTCTCGACGATAACTTCCAGCAAAAGAAAAAGAACAAAAAGGGCAAGAAAACCAGAAAGAAGAAGCCAATGCCTCCTCCAAAGCCAAAAGGTCTCGAAGACTATAAGAGATTCCAAAGAGACAAAGATGACCCTGTCATTGCTAAGCCCAAGACTGGTTTCAAAGAGCCTGGAGAAATCGCTCTCGAGAAGCCTCTTGTAGAAGTTGACGAAAGCAGAGTTCCTTCTAGTTTGGTCTTCATCGGTCACGTTGATGTCGGAAAGAGTACCATCTGTGGTAACCTCATGCTTATGTCCGGAATGATCGATCAGAGAACCGTCGAAAACTACAAGCAGGAAGCCAAAGAAAAGAACAGAGATTCATGGTGGCTTGCCTATGTCATGGACATCAGTGACGACGAGAAGTCAAAAGGAAAGACTGTCGAAGTCGGAAGAGCTTCATTAGAAACTCCAGGCAGAAGATACACAATCTTCGATGCTCCTGGTCACAAGAACTACGTTCCAGACATGATCATGGGTGCAGCCATGTCTGACTTGGCTGCTCTGGTTATCTCAGCCAGAAAAGGAGAGTATGAGTCTGGTTTCGAAAGAGATGGACAAACCAGAGAACATGCTCAGCTCGCCAGAAGTCTCGGAGTCGACAGACTGATTGTCATCGTCAACAAAATGGATGAGAGTTCAGTAGAGTGGTCTGAAGAGCGGTACCAAGAAATTGTCAGTGGAATCACTCCATTCCTCACCGAAAGCTGTGGATTTGAACCAGAAAACCTCACTTTCATCCCAATCAGTGGACTCACTGGAGAGAACATCGACAAGATTTCAGACAAGTCGCCTTGGTACACAGGACCCACTCTGCTGGAGTGCCTGGACTCAGTGGAGCTACCGGAGAAAGACCCACAAGGCCCTATCAGAGTCCCCGTCATTGACAAAATGAAAGATAGAGGTATTGTCGCATTCGGTAAGGTCGAAAGCGGAACCATCGAAATTGGAACCAGACTCACAGTGATGCCAAATGACAGACACTGCCAGGTCACTGGAATCCTCAACTGCAAGCAGGAGTTCGTCAAGTACGCGGCCGCCGGAGAGAACGTGCAAATCAAAGTGCGGATGATCGACGACGAGAACCTCATCAACAGAGGAGACGTGCTGTGTCCCTTCGACGCTCCCTCTCCAATCACCGAATTATTCGAAGCAGAGCTTCAGGTTCTTGAGCTCTTGCCTCACAGGCAGATCCTTACTCCGGGATATAAATCCATGATGCATTTGCACACGATCGGAGACGAAATCGTGGTCAAGTCATTGAAAGGAATCTACGAACAAGATGGTTCGGGAAAGGAATACCTTAACAGAAAGGCTAAGTACGCGAAGTCTGGCTCCAAGTGTTTGGTCACAATCACGACCAGAATCCCTGTCTCACTTGAGAAGTACGAGTTCATCGAGCACATGGGCAGGTTCACTCTCAGAGACGAAGGCAAGACCATTGCAATTGGTAAAGTTCTTAGATATAAGCCAACAGTACTGGCCAGTGCAGAAGGAGCGAATCCGCTAGAAGAGGCCAAGGATGCGAGAGGTAGCGGTGCCGAAGCTGAAGACTCCAAAGAAAATCAATAAGCGTGAGGAGAAATTTTGTCAAGAAATCTCCCGCGAACGGCATTGCGTCTCAGTAAGAATGAAGGTTGATTTCAAGACAAGAGCATAAAGGAGTAGATCTGTTGATCAAGCTTCATTTTTAAGTTTCCTACTAAGGTATACTCAACAACTTATTATTTATTAGGGGTTTTGGGGTTTTGGGGTTTTGGGGTTTTGGGGTTTTGGGG